CATATTCTTGCTAGCTTGTGGAGACCAATGTTTTGTAAACAAAGTGGAAGAATGTCAAACTCAATAAAGAAAACAAAATATTTATTAAGTCAATAATAAGGAACTCTGGGAGAATATGACCTTAAGGTCCCAAAGGCCTCTATCCCTGACAATCTGGTTATTTTTTAAAATTTATGTCAGCCTGTAATTGCCCTTGTTTTGACCCAAGAGAGGACTGTGTGGGAAGTTTGTCTTTGAGATAGTGCTGAAGAACTGCTCTGCAGAGTGTCTGGAGCCTAAGTGTATGCAGTGTCCCCCTCTCTACCCTTGATAAATAGGGAAAAGGCCCAGTTTGCTCCTACTGAAGAGTGAAGTAGTTGCTAAATCTCTCTGTATTCATTGTGTGAGGAAAAAGACAGTCTTTAGTAATATCACCTAAATGTGAGTATTTTGTCTTCTTAAAAATGAGAAAATTTTATAATTTTATGCTAAGTTAAATATGAATGTTATTATTTTGGCAGTTTACTATTATTAAACTGTAAGATGTTAATAATGGTATTTTTGAAATCTTTAATTTCCACTATTGAAAATTAATTTTTGCAAGTTTGAGTAAGCTGATTGTTGTTACTACATGAAAAGCATTTTCCCTAAAAAAGACATTTAATTAAGGAAAGTAGAATATATACTAATTTGGTTTTCTCCTAAAGAATGTCAAGCCAACTTTGGATTATAGTTGGACTTTAGTTGACATTTGATACAATAACCTAAGTTATTCCACAATATTTATTGTAATATTTACTAAAGATAACTTGTTTTTAAATCAAGAGCTTATTGAGAGGCTGGAGTTGTAGCTTAGTGGTAAAGTGCTTGCCTGGCACAGGTGAGGGCTTGGGTTCAATCCTTAGCACCATATTAAAAATTAAAAAAAAAATTTAAAAATTGAAGTTAAGTTCTTTTAAAAATAGCTTATCAACATTATCCTTTTTTTTTTGAAACATTAGTTTGTATATAAGTTCAAAACACATGAAACAGGGCTGGAAATATAGCTCAGTGGTATAGTTCTCTTAACATGCCCAAGGCCCTGAGTTTAATCCTCAGAACTGCCAAACAAAACAAAACAAACAAACAAAAAACCAAAGCCAAAACAAAACAACATGAGAAATATTGTGATAAATGTATATTTAGGGAATTATAGCTCTTGAAAATGCTATTAAGTTATAGTTATAAAAATTATCCTACTTGGGAAATGGATATAAAATACTAATTTCATAGCCTTTTATTTTTCTATTAGTCTATTTTCTCTTTTTGCTGTCTTTCTTAAGTTATGAAAATTACTTGACATAATATTAATTAAAAACTTTTTAAATTTAGAGCTGTATATAAAATTGTATGAATCAATTTATGTGAAAAGTCTATAATAGGCAAATCCATGGAGAAAATAGAATGGTGATTATCAGGTACTAAGGAGAAGAGGGAGAGAGGAGTGACTGCTAATGGATATGGGATTTCTTCTGGGGGTGATTAAAGTATTCTGGAATTAGGTGGTGGTAATAGTTGCATACTCTGAATGTTCTTGAAGTGTATACTTTAAAAGAGCAATTTTATAATAAGATCTCGTTACAGCTGCTTGTAAAAAAGTATATGAAGACTATATGGTGTCAAAAGTCCTCTATATTCTAAAGTATTAACTCTTATAAAGGAAACAGTGGACCTTAATTTGTGTTGTTCAAATATATTCTTTTCATTTTCCTTGGCTCCAATAAGCTCTGACTAGAGAATTTTAGCTCAAAGAAGCCTTACCATAAAAAAACCTTTTTATAATTATATATCAAAGAATAACACTTCCATGAAAAATGTTTTTATAATTATGTATCACTTTTAGTAGAGGCTACTATGAAAACTTAACTGTTTTTCTTTTGAAGCAATCTAGTTTTCAATTGTATCAATCCATGTGATTCATTTATTCATTATTCAAGTGACTTGTATTGCAAATGTAATGTAAAATGTAAAAAATGAGAAATTCTCTAACATGTAGATTTAGTTTTCAGGAATCGATGTTTTTCCTTTCAAAACTAGCTATTTGAAAGTTAATTGAGAACGGTTTTGATTAAGGAGGAGGAAATGCAAATTTATTTATAGAATTAAGCATTTATTCAGTAAATAACCATTACAATCTGTGAAAAACACAGATTTTATTAAAGTTATATTTGTCACAGAAAAAGCATAGACTTTGTCTATGTCAAGTTGAACCTCTTGATAAAAAATCCTCTTCTAATGAAGTTATTTTATTTTAAATAAATATTTACTAGGAAAGATAATAAAACAGAACCATTTCAGAGCCATTGAAGCTTTTCTTTTTAATAGAATAGGAAATTTTTGATTATATACTGCTCTGTATTATTAATAGTTTGCTGAAATGTTTTTAGACTAATTTCATGAATATTTTGAAAGGTTTATTTTATTATGCACATGTATTATAGTATTTCTGTTAAACATTTAAAAGACTGAAAAAATTTAGCGAAAATCTTACGTTAATAATAGTGCAAATATTAATGAGATCTTGTAAAAAAGATAGAAATTTCATATTTTAAAAGGTATCTTTTTACCAGAGGCTTACTTTTGTATATGTCCCATATATAACCTGGAGTAAAACTAGTCCATAAGCTTATAAAAAGAGATCTGTGAAAGATAACATTTTAACACACTTATTTACCATTATTAGAAGGACTTGGTTTTAGAATATTGTAATTTACAATATTAACCTTGACAGTGACATTACCATAAGATCTTTATGTGATTGTTAGTATGTATTACCATATATTGCCAGTTTTGTTTAATGTACTACTTCTGGTTTGTTCTATATTATTTTCAAATAAACTCTCAGTCAGCAGAGTCTGATTCTAAACAGTACTGAATGCTATTTTAATTTTCAGTCTCCTTCAGATATTTAACACTGTATTATGTGAAGTTTAGTGGTAAATTCAGCAAATTTAAAAGGAGAGAGAATAACAACTTCAAATTTTCATGTTCATTTGTAATTTCCTAAGATCTAATTGAAACTCAGAAGAAAAGCTTGGGAAGAACGGAACAAATTAAAATTAAACCAATAGCATTCAGAATTGACTTGTTTTAGTAGAGGAAAAAGAGAAGTATGTACTAAGTGATCGGATTGACATTAGTCCTTACTTTTCAAGGGAAACTTCATGTTGAAAGTTCACTGCTGTTTGGGGCACTGATCTTGTTCCCGCTGTTCCATCCAATATATACTGTACATGACTGTTATGCCAGTAGAGGACTGGAAAATTCAAATGCTTTTAAAGGAACCTGGATCCTATTAAATGATAAAGGAAACAAATTTCGGAGATATTACTATTTAATCACCTTCATGGATATATAAATCTTAGTCATAAATCTATCACATTAGTAATAAATCAAAGTAAAACGTTATCCAATCATCTCAGAAGCTATCTCAGAAGATTTTCATGTGTGTATACCTTTTAGCATTATTTAAAGCCCCTTCTTCTCCTTCTTCTTCTTTGTGCCAGGGATTGAATCTACTGAGTCACATTCCCAACTCAGCACATCCCCTCTGCTCTTTTTAAAATTTGAGACAGGGTCTTACTAAATTGCATAGGACCTCACTAAAATGCCGAGGCTGCCTTTGAACTCATGATCCCCCTGCCTCAGCCTCCTGAGCCACTGGGATTATAGGCATGCACCACTATGCCCAGCATTTTTGTTTCATTTTAAAGATGGAAAATAATCTTTGTCTTCTAATGGACAGCATAAAGCTATAAACAGTGGCCTCTATAGTGATCTTTATTTTCTTACAATAGTTTCCAATTTCTTAAACTGGGATTTCCTGTTTAATTCTATTCAAAGATGTAATCTTTTTGAGTTCCTTCCTGGAAAATAACAAAAATAGTCTTATATTTTTAAAATTTTTCTCATGATAACTTACAATTTTTAGGTTTTACAATTAAAACACTTTTATTGGTAACGAATTGTTGTTAGTTAAGCAGAACCAAAATTAATGTTTTAATATTTAGCATACCACAGTGCTATGAAAATATTTACAAAGAACTCAGATGATAAAAAAAGTGCTAAAAAGCTATTGATTTCCTATTCTTTAATTTCTTCTATAATTATAAAAAAGTTGAAATTTTCTTCCTAATTCATCTCTATTTAGAATAATAATTTGGAAATCAATCATTGCCAAGAATTGTGTTGGATTTTAATACACTAATTAAACTCTCCTAACAATTTTATCATAGGGCTTTACTACTTTTACAAATGAGAAACCTAAGGATCAGGGAGATACTGGGTATCAAATCCAAGGCCTTCCACATGCTAGGCAAGTACTCTACCACTGAATTATATCCCCAGCCTCAGGCAGAATTAATAATCCCATAAGTGAGTGGGGAAAGCAATCTATGAGGCCTAACTTGAAAGCTTTTTTTAAACAAATATACAAATAAGCTTAATATAATAATAATTAGTAAGCTTAATACATTTATAAATAACAATAAATTTGGTATTTAAAAAATACATTTTTGTTGTAGACGAACACAATACCTTTATTTTATTTATTTATTTTTATCTGGTGTTGAGGATTTAACTCAGTGGCTCACACGTGCTATGCAAGCACTCTACCACTGAGCTATGACTCCAGCCCAGTAAACTTGCTACGCTTTTACAAATAACTTTATAGCTGATAATGATGATTACCTACCAAAATTTATTAAGTTATTTGTAAACAGCTGAGCAATAAGAAATTGGCAAAAATTAAATAAGTTGATGCTTAGAGATATGAAAATCATCATTTTGTCAATTAAAGTATAAATATAAATTATGCATAAATTCTGCTAAACTATTTTTTAAAAGTACACTATACTATCAGATGATACTGATTTAACAATCATCTGTTCAAATAATCTGTGAAATTTTTGTTTCTTCAGGTTTGATTCTGAAAAGTTCAGCATTGCCTGAAGTGAATGAAGCAGTGGGAATTGTACCAGAGAATGGCAAACACTTATGTTACTACATTTGATGGGTACTGTCTTGCTGACCCTATGCAGTACTATGGTATGTAACAAAGAACTACAGTAAAATAGTCAATAAATAGTTTTATAGGAATTATGGTTAATTAAAGATTTTTTTTAAAAAAGTAACAAATGAATAAATAATCTTCTACAGGAAAAAATAATTTTAAAAACCAGTAATATATTGTTAGTCCAGAATCAAAGGTAAAGAGGAAAAGATGTAACAGTTTAAAATCATATTCAATTAGAAAATTGGAGTTATTTTTAGGAGTTAGTTGAAGCTAGTTTTTATGCAGTTTAGTAAATTGAAATTTTATTATTATTTATTATTATTTAGCATACTTGACATTTTAGTCCTAATGTAAGATTCTTGTAAAAGGGAAAGAAAGAAAACAATGCAGAGACAAAAGATTTTTTATTTTATTTTTTACAAAAAGACCAAGGCAATAATAAAAATTTCATCTTGCCATTTTCAAAAAGTAATTTAAACTGTTTTCCATGAAAATGGAACATTAGGTAGTATTCTACTGGGGTGAAAAAGACAGTTTTTTTGTTTGTTTTGTCTGTCATCCAAGAAGGGTCTTTCCCTTCTCATCTTCCTCCTCCTTCTTTCTTCTTCTTCTTTAAGCCTACATTGTTTTACTGATAACCTTTCTTCTTATATCAGGCTATTTAGTATTCATTCAACCTTTAGAGTTGTATTGGATGCTCTAAGATTGTAAATGACTTATACGAAACAATAGAAATTGTACTGTTTACCAATCTTTGTAGTAAAATTTTTTGGGTAAGAATAAGTCTTATCACCAGGTGATTAAGCACCAGGAAAAGTACAACTATTACTAGTTACAGACCTGGAGCAACTAAGTATCCTGGGGTTCTTTTGGAGCCAATATTTTGGATTTAAATCAATAATTCTAACAAAAGCAGGAAGTAAGTTGGTGTTTGGGAACTTCTGATAATAATAATGATATACAACAGATGTCAATTTATAGTTTATATATGCTTTTAACTATCATATTTTATTTAATTCTTTTTTAAAAATTTCATTCTTATATAATCCTGCAAGGTAGGTAAATTTTTCCCCAGATAAACACCAGAACAAAAAAGAAAATAGTAATTTAAGTTAGGCTATAAGTGACAAAGGAGAGTATTGATATATTAAATGAGAAGTTCAAACAAAAACATTTCTTAACCATATAAGCTAAAAATGTATGTTAGCTTTTCTTTCTTTCTTTCTTTTTTTTTTTTTTTGAGGGTGGAATAACTTATTAATTCACATAGTTTCTGACCTATTTGCCCTAAGACCAGTATAAGTGGGACAAGGAAAATGTAGAAGATAAGGAAACTCTTCTTCCATTTCAAATTCTTCTACTAAGAAGGGAGATGGAATGGGTATATGAGCCATTAGGAAACTTTACCCTTCCTTTAGCTCCTGATCAACCTCTGCGCATCTCTGGGATGGTGACATTTATCAATATATTGCAATGGGACATAGTAGGAATGTTAAACTCTTTGTTGAGCATGAAATATTTTGAAATTTGAAAATAAATTAAGAAATTTTGACTTTTTACTATTTGCTCTTTTTTAAAAAAATAAAACTAGATATTTTGCCAGAACAAATTGATTATCAGCTGCACAACACTGATTTTCAAGAATCACCTCATTGCCAGTATTCTACAGCTCAGTTTCCTCCGGCTCTCCAATCCCAATCTTTACAAAGCCATTTCAACACCTATGGCTTGGATCCACAGTACAGTGGTGATGGACAGTGTGGACTTGATTCTTGTGAATTAAATAAAACCACTTATGTGGTTGCTCACAATGTTGAAGATGGATACCCTGGAATAAAAAGGTCCAAGCCAACTTGTTCTTTGCAAATGAAGGGACAGAAAGAACTCTGTGTAGTTTGTGGTGATAAGGCATCAGGATATCATTACAATGCACTTACTTGTGAAGGTTGCAAAGGTAAGGATAAAGTTAAAAGAAACTTGAAATCTTAGTGTTCACTGAAGAGCCATGACATCCTAGACATATGAGAATACTTTTCCTTTTAAAGTGTGAAAAACCAAATCAGAATGAGCCATGGCATGTTTAAAGTGATCAATCAGTGGTATCAAAGACATAAAAATAAAATATAAAATTTAAGTTCAGTTTTCTTTTCATTTTTGCTAAGGGCTTTTACATTTAAATATAAAATTCAATATTAATATAACAGAAAGATTTCATATTCCTAGAAGAATCTGATGCTGGAATAGATCTTTGAAAAAGATTTGAATGTTAAACACTATTTCTTTTTATGTGGTTGATGTAAGTTATGCATTTGGAGGGGATTTGAATTAAGTGACTTTCAATATTCTAAGCCTATTTTTCTTTTCTATTTCTGTGTGTATGTGTGTGTGTGTGTGTGTGTGTGTGTGTGTGTGTGTGTGTGATGCTGGGGATCAAACCCAGGACTTTACACATCCTAGGCAAGTGTTCTACCACTGAGCTATATCCCTAGCCTCTTTTACCCTTTTATAATTTAATTTTTGATATAATTTAGTCTCACTAAATTGCCCAGGCTAGCCTCCAGCTTGTGAACCTACAGTCTCAGCCACCTGAGAAGTTGGGATACAGGCCTGTGCCACCATTCTTATCTTGAAATACTTTTTTGAAGAAAAATTGAAGGTCTGAAAGTGAAGACCAAAACTGACATCTGCAAAGAATGAAATAGTCTTTGATTTTGAACAGTTTTGAAGTACTCTTGCACTTTTAAATTCATAAATGCAGGATTGGGGATGTAGCTCCGCAGGTAGAGCACTTGCCTAGCATAAATACAAGGCCCTGGATTTGAATTTCAGCACTGGAAAAAAAAAATCAAAAGTACAGGGTTAGGACTGAATCTAGAAATGATTAGGCCAATATGGTATAGGTATAGATATTAATTAGAGGTCAAGTTAAGTTTTATTCTCAGAAAACTCTCAACCTATCCCTTCAAAGAATAGCCAAATGAAGACCACAAGGAATGAGCTTTGTAAATAGAACAGTGGGGCAAATGTGTGCCTACTCTTGAAATGCAGGGTTTTGCTATTAAAATTAGGTTAAAAAATGAGGCGTAGTTCTGAAAACCTAAACTAAGACTTTTACTCTGTTGAATCTAAGCCATGGAACTCATATTCTCAAGAGCATATGGCAGGGCTTTAAGGAGGGCACTGACTAAGCTTAGTAACTTCACTGTTTGAAATGGAAAGAAGAGGAAGAGGGCAGGAACTGGCATAGAACAAGAAATAAAGGAGGAAATGGGAAGAGGAACTGTTTTTTTGCAAGCATTTAGGAAGTGAAATAGAAAACCTTCCTTCCTTCTACCAATTATGAACTCTTTAATGTCTTAAACCAAACTAGCAGCACTTTCTCACTGGGGGAAGTATAATAACAAAGGTGATGGTGGTGGGGGTGATGGGATATGGGCAGGTATGAAAGTATGAGAAAAAAGGTTTTTCTTATGGTTTTATTTACCTGATCACATATTCTTTCAAGAGAGCAGTGAGAGATGCTTCAGGGGAATTTGATTATCTATAAAAGTTTTAAAAAGGCTTTTAGATGATACATTATAACTATTGTAAAACTAGAGTCTCTTAATGTGATAGAATTATTTAGTTTAATTATCAGGTGTGACTATTTAAAGACACAATGTTGGGATAGAATAGATCAATTAGGAAAAGATCAATTTTCCAGATAAATGCATATTAAGCAAAACCTTTTTATCAAGAGAAAAAAATTTAATTGAAGTAATTTAGTTAACTTAATTATTTATTATAACAGTATATATTAGTAATAATGACAATTAAAAATACTTATGATAAAATCTGAAAAATTTTATTGTTAGGTTTTTTTCGACGTAGCATTACCAAAAATGCAGTATATAGTTGCAAGAATGGTGGTCATTGTGAAATGGACATGTATATGCGTAGAAAATGTCAAGAGTGCAGACTGAAAAAGTGTAAAGCAGTAGGCATGTTGGCAGAATGTAAGTACTATTGTGTTTTTTGCTTTGGTTTATTTTGTTGAGGGAATTTTAAATTTTCTTATCTTATTGAGAACTTAATGCATTCTTCAAGGCATAATTTTGAACATTTATATATATATTTTTAGTCTACTTTTCTGGTAACTGTACAACTAGGATAGCCAATTATCAATCTGAATATTTATTTCCATAAATCCTGCTCTATAACTGTGTTGCTCTAATTTTGGAAATGATCATATTTCATCTTAGTTAGAAATTCTTATATTTTTATGTTACCTAAACTAAAGTTGTAACTATATCTGTAAAGAGCAGAATTTTAAGTTAGTAATTTTCAAAAGCCTACAGGATAACTAGATATGTAGAGCTTCCTAACAATTAACACATAGGTGTTAAAAAATGCAACTGCATAGGCAGAAGAGGGTATAATCCACCACCTATCTCCTTAGGACTGAAGATTGAACTCAGGACTGCTCTGCCATTGATCTAAATTTCCAGACCTTTTTATTTTTTTGAGACAGGGTCTTGCTAAGTGTCTAATTATTTGAGTCTCTTCTATGTTTACTGTATTTTTTGCTTTAGTTAAATAATGTCATTTAATACCCATAGTAGTACTAAAATTTTGGCAAAATTTTCTCAATTACTTCCCATTTTCTCTGGCTCAAATTTTCAGATGATTTTCAAGTTATTTTTTATAAAGTAATATTAATATTTTCTTTTCCTGTCTAATATAGCCTTAATGCAAACCCTTTTTATCTTATAATTATGCTATTATATTAGTTTCCTGGACATTTCTCCATTCTATGTAGTTCAATCAACCTTCAACTTCCATAATAATCTTAAGTTGTAGACAGTTACCTTCTTACTGCTTCACCTCACATAATGAAAAGGAGAAAATAAACTCTCTGATGTCCCTTCTCATAAGGCATTAATTCCATCATCAGGGCCCCATCCTTGCAATATCATCTAAGCATAATTACTTTCCAAAAGCTCCATCTCAAGATACCATCACATTGGGGATTAGAGCTTCAATATATGGGGTTTTAGGAGATACAATTTGGTCCATCAAAGTTCCCAATAAATTGTCTTTGTGTGTGTTGGGGGGGGGGCGGGGCGTGATGGGGATAATAAGATTGAACCCAGGGGTACTTTTTGACTGAGCCACATCACCAGCCCTTTTTATTTTTTATTTTGAGACAGGGTCTACCTAACTTTTTTAGGGCCTTGCTAAATTGCTGAAGTTGTTCTTTAACTTGTTATCCTCCTGCCTCACCTCCTGAGTTTCTGGGATTACAAGTGTGCACCACCATGTCTGGCTTGATAAATTGTCTTGTAACCTATGTCTGAAAGCCTATATAAAAGGAAACTTGTATTCTTCTGTGTCAATTTATAAATGAAATCTTCCCTCCTTTCCTTTAAACTTGAATGAATTATGCAAAGGTCAGAGAGACTTGACATGAGTGTAGTTATTATGATATATGGACATAAACATTATTCAGATATTATTCACATGCATCCAGATTCCTGCCATCATTATTATAGCTCTTTTATGTTATATTTACCCTTAAATTGACCTAAGAATATCCAGTGTTTAGTACTTTGATTGATGTTTTTTATGGATTAATAATGATAATACAATTGGTCATAATTGGCCATAGGATCCTGCTCAAACAGGTCTGTAAAACATTACTTCCTTTCTTCTGGAGTCTTTTTTATTTATTTGTTCTTTTTAGATATACATGACAGTAGTGTATATTTGACATATCTATATGAAGTATAATTTATTCTAATTAGGATCCTATTGTATAGTTGTATAAAATGTTTGAATATGACTTTCCCTGATGGTGTATTCATATATGAATATAGGAAGGTTATGTCCAATTCATTCCGCTGTTTTTCCTATTCCTACCCCCGCTTCCCTTTATTCCCTTTTGTCTAATCCACTAAATTTATATTCTTCCTCCCAAACCCCTTGTTACATGTAAGCATCTGCTTATCGGAGAGTACATTTGACCTTTGGTTTTTGGTGATTGGCTTCTCTTTTGGTCTTAATTCCCTTACCACATGATAATTCTTCAAGTATTATGTCCCTCATGAATTATTTTCTCTCTATTTATTTATTTTTGTACCAGGAATTGAACCCAGTGGTGCTTAACTATTGAGCCATATTCCCAGCCATTTTTCTTATTTATTTTTATTTTGAGACAGGGTCTCAAAAAAGTTGCTTAGAGCCTCACTAAGTTGCTGAGGCTGGCCACAAACTTGTAATCCTCCTGCCTCAGTCTCCCAAGTCCATGAAATTACAGGTGTGTGCACCTTGTCTGGCTCTCTCATTTTAAAGTGCCACGTCCATTACCAAATATATGGTACTCAATGTGTGGTCTTACATACAGAGTGGAACTCAAATACTTCTATCTTTTTAGTTACTAAGAATATATTAAAATAGATTAAAAGCAGGGCTGGGATATAGCTCAGTTAGTAGAGTGCTTGCCTCGCATGCACAAAGCCCCATGTTCAATCCCCAGCAACACACACACACACACACACACACACAAAATAGGTTAAAAGCATGTTGGTTTTTATAGGTGGCTGTATTATTGACCCATTTTTGTCTGTTTTAACCTCAGTTCAGTGTTAGTAGCTCAGCAGGTCTAGACCCTAGAATTATCTCATGTTGAGCTAAGGGTTGACAAACTACCTTCCTTTGCTTTTACATCCACAATTAGTTAATTATTAATTTACTCATCTCTATATAGCTATTCAGACTAAACTCAGGGAAGCATAGCTTTAGGCATGATGAATCCTCAAGCATAGGCTGGTAGAAGATGAGAGGAAATAAATTAGTGAAGATTCATGGCTGGGATGAACAACCTAGGAGGATCCTTGAATATTGAGGGATGGCGGTCAATTTTTTTCTACAGTGTTCAAAAGTGTTATGTCAAAGACAGACTTTATTTATTGACAAAGTATTCCATGTTCATTTTTTGAGGTATGATTATAATAGGTTGTTTTCAGTAGTGATAAAATTTGATATTAGATTAGTTGTAATGCCATGGCTCCAGAACACTAGTGAATTACAATCCTAGCCAAAGTTTGAGGATATAGGGGACTAAGTCCTCTTCTTTCAGGGAAGTGGTGAGATCTAAATGTTTTTAGGTACCTGGTCAAATAGGTTAGGGCTCAAAACAAGGCTGTATTCTCACTGGGGAGCTGAAAACCAATAAGCATAACTAAAAAGGAACCAAACATCTCAATATATTATCTCATTCAGTTCTTATTATAACCACATGAAGTAGATAGTGTTAATACCTTTTTTTAATGAATGAGGAAAGTAAATCATAGAGAGGCACACAGCTAAGAGCACGGTTTGAACTCAGGTATTCTGATGTCTATATGTTAACCATTATACTATGTTAAAATCAGAAATATAATGTGTGACAGTGACTCTTCATGTTATTCAAGATTAGTTCAGAAACATTGCAAAGCTGATTTCACAGGCTAAGAAGTATTGGAAAAAGTCAGAGGTTGATGTCATATGCTGGTCCTAACATTTATCCTCAGTGAATTTTCCTTTGTTATTTATTAGTGTATTATTCAGTCTCTGAAGAGCTTTTAAAATTATTTTTGTGTTGTATAATGTTTTGGGATATTTCCCTATGATTTCTGATATTGAAAAACTTTTTCCAGATTGTAGTTTAAAATAATGACTAGAACTAGTTGCAGGATGGAAACTGGGATTTACCATTAAGAATCTTTCTACAAATGAACTCTGAAAACATTATGCTAAGTGAAATAACCAGGGACAAAAGGACAAATACTGTATGATGCTACTAAAAGGGACTATCTTGAATAGGCAAATTCATAAGGACACGAAGCAGAAAGAGGTTCCCAAGGGCTGCAAGCTGGGGGAATAGGGAGTTATTGTTTAATGGCTATAGTTTCTGTTTGGGGTGATAGGAATTTTTGGTAATACACAGTGGTATATGGCTGTACAACATTGTGTAAGTAATTAATGCCACTGAATATTATACTGCAAAATGTCTAAAATGGCAATTTTTATGTTATGTATATTTTACCACAATAAAACTCTTATGAAATAAAAAAGAATCTTTCTACAGATTGGCATTCATCCATTAATCAAGTTGCTCAGTTAGTTCTTTATACCAACTATCTTTTTCTGAAGGTACATTGCATTTTTATATGACTTAATTTTATGTATTTATTTTTATGTGGTGCTGAGGATGGAACCCAGTGCCTCACACATACTAGGCAGCTCCTTGATATTTATCCTTAAGAATTAAAGGCATCATACTATAGTGACACCTGAGTACCCATGTTTATAGCAGTACAATTCATAATAGCCAAACTATGGAACCAGCCTATGTGTTCATCAATGAATGAATGGATAAAGAAAATGTGGTGTATATACACAATAGAGTTTTATTCAGTATAAATAAAAATGAAATTATGTCATTTATAGAAAAATGAATGGTACTTGAGAATATTATGTTAAGTGGAATAAGCCAAACTCAGAAAGTCAAGGGTCATATGTTTTCTCACTTGTGTGGAAGCTAATGAAGAAAAGAACAGAAAGGTGGGGTGGGGGAATCTCATGAAAATCAAAGGGAGATCAGTAGAATAGAGGAAGGGAAGAGGACAAGGAGTGGGTGAGAGGATAGGAGGGAGGGAGAAAGTGCTGGGGAGTGATATTGGCCAAATAATATTGTTATATTGTGTGCATGTGTGCAAACGTAACAATAAACCCATTATTTTGTATAACTATAATGTACCAATAAAAAATGTGTGTGGGGGCAGAAATAGTTCTACAGTTGATGTTCTTTACCATCATTTCCTCTAGCCTCTGTGTAAGATTTTATCAGTTTATTTCCCCCCCTCCTTTTTAAAATTTATATATGGCAGTGGAATGCATAACAATTCTTATTACACATATAGAGCACAATTTTTCATATCTCTGGTTGTATAGTCACACCAATTCATTTCTTCAT